AAACAAAAAATTGCATCTAAAATAGTACAGTAGAAGCCATTCTTCCGGTTAAGCTTAATCCTCTCCCTCTCCCCCCGCGGGAGAATTTAGAAAAATCCCTTCTTAGTGTCCATTCTCATGGCATACCCTACTAAAACGCATACAATACGAATACGAAATAACAAATTNACGGCGATAAAAATTATTTATATTAATGATGTCTCCAAAGTTCAGCGAAGTTTTCGCAGAAAAATAACATCAGAAATCGCGGCCGTGGTTTGCTGAGTTGTTCCGCGACGAAAACAAGCTTGAGCAATGGCAATGTCGAATGGTGCACACTCGGTAAGTAATCCTACAATTTTTTGTTTATAGCGTAGTTTATACGGATTATTTCCAAAAAAAATATAATTATTTTGGAAATGTTGAGTCGGATTAGTCTAGAATCGATTAATTTTATGGAAGAAAACCTTTCAAAAAGCCGTAGTCCGTAAACTTGACACGTGTCGGACTGTGATTGGAAGGACTCGTAAGAAATCGAATTCCCAAAGAATGGAACGTATCTACTGTCTTATAGGGGGGTCAACTGTATTTGCGAGACTGTCGGGCAGACACTTGTTAAGTTTTTCATCGGTTTTTATTTTCAAAAGGTGAGAATATAATAGCAAAGATAGAGAGTGGGTAGATGATGTCTGATGTTGCTGGGCAGTATGGCTTGAACAGATCTTCAGTAGGCTGCAATTCAATCTTATCTAAGAAAGATACAGTATAATCAAGAAGTCTCAAGCAGCTAAAGGAGTAACAAACATCACATCTGAGAAATAAAAAACATTGAAAACCTCATAATGGAGCCTGAAACTGATCTGATGACAGAAGAACGCCAAGAACTCTTGAATGAAAAACACCAAGAAACTTGGCAAGATATTTTTCTTCTGAAAAAGAAAAAAGAAAAACATCTTTAATAGCAGATATCAGTATCTTTAATGCTGATATCTGCTATTAAAGATCTTTTGAAGAAGTGGGAGGATGTCAGAACAACGGTCTTAAAATGGCATCCAAACCAGGTTAATAGGCTTGGGGATCTCTACAATTACAACGATATTAATTACTTCTGAAAAATCTTGAAAATGAGAGAAAAACAATCAATATTAGACAGTTTCTTTAACCCCCACAAACAGAAAAAACATAACTAATAAAAATGCAACACTGTGTATTTTTATTATTACATATAAATAAACGTAGTAAAAAAGTATATATTTTTTATTTTTTAGGGTCTCCAGAACGAATTAATCAAATTCCCATAAAATCCTATGGTAAATCGATAATCGGTTAATGAACAAATCGGATAGTGAACAAAGTCTTGGAACAGATTATGTCTGTTAACCGATCGCCCACTGTATATTCATTTTGCTATTTTGAAATATTTCTCTATTAAACAATTTCTAGCCAATTCTATAACAATCATATATACGAGGGCTGTTCGGAAAGTTCGCGGCCTCACATAGAAAATCAAACAAAATAATGTTAAAACTTTTTTTATTTTTCAACGTAATCTCCTCTGTTAGCAATGCACTTATTCCAGCAATGTTCTAGCTTTTTTATGCCATCACAATAGGTCAATTTGTCAAGGTGTGCAAAATACTCGTTCACTTCAGAGATGACTTCGTCATTTGAGTGGAATCTCTTTCCAGCCAAGAATTTTTTTAGGTTTGGAAAAAGGTGGAAGTCACTGGGGGCCAAATCAGGTGAGTACGGTGGATGTGAAACTAATTGGAAGCGAAGTTCGTTTATCTTTTGTTCAGTGATTCTGGCGGAATGTGCAGGTGCATTATCGTGGTGGAACAGAACCCTTTTCTTCTTCAAGTGTGGCCTCTTTTCTTCGATTTCTTTCTTCAGTTTTTCCAAAAGTTCACAGTAATAGACAGCATTAATTGTCTTTCCTCTTTCTAGGTATTCAATAAAGATGATGCCTTTAGCATCCCAAAAAACCGAGGCCATCACTTTACCCGCTGATGGAACTGTCTTTGCCTTCTTTGGTGGTGGCGAACTGTGGTGTTTCCATTGCTTCGACTGTTCTTTTATTTCAGGAGTGTAGTAATGGATCCACGTTTCGTCAGTAGTCACAAACCGACGCAAGAAATCCTGTGGTTTTTCTGGTAGAAGTCCAAACACTCCTTTGACATCAAAGTGCGAACACGTTTTCGCTCGATGGTCAGCAGATGCGGCACCCACCTTGCTGAGACCTTCGTCATACCCAAATCTTCGGTTAGGATGTGGTGCACTCGGTCGACAGAGATGCCTGTTGTCTCAGCTATCTCACGCGTTTTCAAACGGCGATCTGCTAATACCAAATCGTGAACTTTGTCGATGTTTTCTTCAGTGACAGCAGTTGATGGCCGTCCGCTGCGAGGGTCATCTTCCACACTTTCTCTGCCAGATTTAAAAAGGGCTGTCCATTTTTTCACAGTGGTGTACGAAGGAGCAGACTCTCCTAAAACTTCATTCATGTCAGCTTTGATTTGAGATGCGGTCAACCCTTTTTTCGTCAGGTATTTTATGGCCGCACGAGTCTCCGTCTTCTCCATTTTTGACAAAGCATGTGCACACTGACTATCTGCTAAGCTGTCGTGGCAAAACTTTTTGACAAATCAAGCGGAAATTGGTATCGTATCTTTAGCAAAGATGGCTGAATTATTCCCGCCAAAAATTAAATTGATCGCAGCGCCGCATATAGGCAAGGCCGCGAACTTTCCGAACAGCCCTCGTATGTACTTAAAATGAAATTACTAATTCAAAGGTTATAACAAAATTAGAAAATCCAAATATACAAGAGCTGGAAAGATAGTGGTGGTGACCCTGTCACCACACTCCATAGGAATAAAGACACTATTGATTTCTAAAATTTGGAAGGAAAAGCAAAGCTGTTTGTCACACCTAGTAGCACTTGTGTAGAATGTGTAGATTGGTAAGTATGAAGCAGTAATTTAGTAGTGTTAAATTGGACCACCATAAAATGATGTTTTCAAAGTATAATCATTACATTAGATAAAATGTGGATGTGATCTTACAAACCAGAACTAAAACATCAGTCCAAAGAATGGTGTCACCTATCATCTCCCATCATAAAAAGCTGCACCAAGAATCCAGGAATATGAAAGTGTGTTGATAGTAATATATGATGTGAAGGGCATGATACTCTATCATACATTTCTTCAGGGACAGACTGTGAATGCTGTATACTACTGTAGTTACCTATATCATCATCTTTGTCCTGCAGTGTATAAGAAATGGCAACATTTCCAAACATATGCTCCTATTTTCTTGCACAACAACACTCGCTGTCACACTGTTGCTCATTTGAGGGAGTTTTTAGTTTAGTAGAGGAGGGAAGAACTCAAACATTCTTCATATTCAACCAATATGCTCCTGTGACTTCACTCTCTTCTCCAAGCTAAAGAAACCACTGAAAAGAAAGCATTTTCACATAAGAGATGCCATTCTTCAAGCAGTAGGGTGATCCTTTATGGACATAAACAAACACAGCAGTGTTACTGATGTGCAGTGCCTTCCACATGTGGGAGGAAGTAATAAATATAGTAGGGGATTATACCAAAGAAATGTAATGCTATTGTTTATACAATAAATGGTTTGTATATATGGATTATATGGACATATATAAATGGTTTATATATGGATATGTTGCCACTACTTTCTTTCCAGCCCATGTAAATTTTAAATTCTATCTACTTCTAGATCAAATTGATTACTAAATTATGATAATTGCTAGTCTCTAAATATCTCTGACATAATCCAGAAGTATTTACTTTGTCAATCCTGTAACTGTCTGTACATACACTTTTTTAGAATACAATTAAGTTATACAGATGTGCTTCTTTCTATTTTAACACTTAAAATTTGTTTGTATAATCTTTCATCATCCATTCAATATAAACAACCAATTAGTTAAAAAATATTGCTACATTAGCTTTAATTATATTCTTTATCAGATATTATATATCATTATTGAATAATTTTTTCTTCCTTCTACTCTTTTTAAAATTCTGTTCATTATATTTGGCACTTTGCTCTAGCATACACTTAGTTTTCAGAGTCATATATCAAAACTTAACAAGAAAACTAATTTAAAATTTTTACAACAACGATTTCTTTTATTATTTTGTATCTGAAATGTTATTCTTAAGATAGACAGACATTAGACTACTTCTTTCATTATCTTAGATAATGAAAGAAGTTTCAAATTTCTTTTGCATTTGTCAATCTGATAAGAATTCTGTTTCAAAGGTTAAAAAAGATTACTTCTCCAAAAAATAGATTATTAAGTTAAAATGCTGGTAATGCATATTTATAATTTTACTACTAATTTATTTAATGAAAACATAACTGTTTCTGATCACGATGACAATAACTAGTTATTACTATTTCTAATTTCATAAATTCATCCAAACCTTTTATTATTATTATTATTATTATTTTTTTTTTATGTATTGATTTTATAACACAGTTTGCACGAATGTAAAAATTTACTATCATATATTTCATTATAATTAATAACGGAATAATTATTCAATTACTAATTTTAAATGTTTAAAAGTAATCAACAACAAAAATGTTATTTTTTTTCCATAATATATTGTCAACGAATTTAATTATTCTTTTATATTTCAGCAATCCATTAATGTTACAAATTTAATAATAATTTTAACAGGGGTTATATTTACACATACGCAGAACACGTTATAGCTTAGTGTTTCATTCTACAAGTTCCGGATTTTAAATTTATTATTAGAAGGCTCGTATATACAACTCGAAGCCATAACTCTATGACTTTAATATTGTCTATACTATAATGCAATATACTCTACTGATATATGTATATAATATTGGATAAACATATAGACTTAAATAAATAATATAATCTATTAAAATTAATTTAAGTGGTACAAAGTCGATTACAAAACTACAATGTGATATATGACTTAATACACTGCCTAATTGAAAATTACCTTTCTTTTTAAGGCATTCCTTCTAAAAAATGCTTTACAAGATTCACAAGTAATGGCACTGAAATTAAAACCTAGAGCTTTATCACCACAAACTCCACAAACCTTAGACATTTTTCTTATGTCAGTCATGTCTCGATCTATAAAAAAGAAGTTCCAAGTTACATAAGCTTTAATAGAAATTTAAAAAATATATATATATATATGACAAAAAAAATTAATCACAGTTTAATGCTTATTCCTCCATTACTTCCGATAATGATTATCGTAAACGATGCACTAATCATTATTATTATATATCTATGTATATTTTATCGGTGGCATGACTTTAATTAACCATTCATATTTATTTCTGTAAATGTTCCCCTCCCACTGTTTATCTCAACGTCGTTACGACATCTTGGAAATGATATTCCGCCATCTTGTGACGATAAAGTTAAACATAAAATTATACACGATATTTATTATTATTATTTTTTGCTTTTTTTCTCTAATGTTATCTATTTATTTATTTATATTTGTTGGACAAGTTATGAATTTATTTTATTATTATTATTTTTTTTAAATTGCATTTTATAGTTTTGTAAAACAAAATAAATTTCATAAGTAAAGCCATGATTAAATAGGCATTAGAGAAGTTGCGGCCGACGTTTTCATTGCGAAAACGTGTACGTCGGACGTTCAGCGCCACCACCTTCCTGTGAGCCTAGAAGTTTGACAATGGCGTTTGATACGTCGAACATGATTCCACTGACGTTCCAAACGCTATTGTCAAACTTCTAAGCTTACAGGAAGGTGGTGGCGCTGAACGTCCGACGTACACGTTTTCGCGATAAAAACGTCGGCCGCAACCTCTATTAAGAATCATATAAGTTACGATTTTATAACTAATTATATGATTTTAAGTGTGTGGATATCCTAGCTCTAGTTATAGCCTATGTCTTTTTAAATTTATCAGTGGAATTTTGAGATAAAACTGGATTATCATTGAGATAAATGAATTAGAGTAATCGAGTAAATACGTTAAATGGGCATGATTTTGTTAGCCTATTTTGAAGCTTAATAACTCCTGTACTTTTTGTCGAACATTTTTGAAATTTTGCAGGAAGGTTTGTTTATTAGGGGAATTGATACTATTAAATTTTGGTAGTTAAAGGTCAAGGGAGTGGAAAGATAAAGGGAATCACGTGTCATATCTCAAGTCTGTTCGGACTTAATGAAGATTTTACTCGTTATTAATAATTTACAATTTTTTTTCATAAAAATCATCTCTATCCTAAAATTAAGTTTTTTTGGAAAGAAATATTTGATAGATGATTAATTTAATCTGTAATAATTTAGAAAGGATTTCATTTTGTATTTGTAATAAAAACAAGAAAGAGAAGACAGATCTAAAAATGAAAAGGAATAAAATTCTGTTCCACAATAAATAGACGATCCCTAAATCTGTGATAAGCAAAACTGTTTGCTAAGCATTTTGTAACTTTGAAACAAAGGTCTTTCTTTGTATGACGTGTTAAGTCTACTATATTTGATACGACTTTGAACAACTCTACGATTGACTGATTAATGAAAGATAAAAACTGAATCATTATTTGCTTATAATTCTTTTAAGAAATTACAAGGAATTTAAATGCCAAATACCTGTATTAGTATTTAAAACTTGAAAGAAAAATCGTTTCCCCCTTCCGAATCATCATAAGTTTTCATGAATATTATTATTAAAAATTAAATATGTAAATACGTGTAACGAATTTTTTAATATCATTCACATATAATATTTGAAACAAGTTTAAAAATAATGTAAAACTGTATAAGAAAGTCATTGTATTTTATTAATATTTAAGCTTACATATCTATAAAACAGAAAAATTCAATTAACATCTCAATAATAATCATTTTGATACTAACTGAAGTGTCAATATTTTTAGTAACAACTTATATAATAACTTCTCCGATATAAAAGTAACAGCAATAATCTTTCGTAATTAAAATCATGTGACTAGTCGTTTTCTATATTTATAAAATATTTTTCTTATCTGATAGTAAAAATTTTGATAGAATTTCATAAATTACTCTTTTACAATTCTTTCTTTCTTCAGATACTACTTACATGTCATAGATTCAGCCAGACCTACAATAAAAGCCATTTATTTATTTTTTAATTTTTAGTTTCTGCAATCCGGAGGGCAATAAAAAGGCCTTCTTTCATATTCATTGTGAGTTAGGGCGGAGTGATAGTAATGGATGAGGCTTTATATCAGGGGTCTCAAACTCAAACGCAGCAAAAGGTCAGTCAAATAGATATATATCAGAGCGGGCCTTATTCAATATTATTCAGTAAACAAAAATACACTGTAGTTTTAAAAAACTCTAACAAAAGTCCTTTTGTTGCCAGGCCTTTACGACTTACGTAAACAGTTAGTCGTTTAAATTTTTTCTGTTTTAATTCCCGCAAGATGTTAGAAATATTGATTTTTCAGAAAAGAAATCATCAAGGCCACGGGACAAATATGAAACCTTAACGGCCGTGTCCGGCCCGCCGACCGCCAGTTTGCGACCGCTGGCCTACATATTCATATCCATCCATTTGTAAAAATTTCTGAATCAACAGTGATTTAAACATGGTTCTTTATAATTTTATTAACATTTGAACGATGATTCTATATTTAAAATTAAAATAGATATTTATTAAATAGCCTCATTGGGCTGCAATTTGAAAAAACTGTAGACCTATATATTCGCACTGTCGTCCATCCCTCAGTCTGTCTTTTCTTAAACAACTTTCAGGAATAAAATTCTTTGGTTTCAAAACATAATTTAGTAAATATTGAAATTATTCTTTTCGTTTATAAGAATAAGAACTTTTTCCCTCAGCAATAAAATTATTCGTTTCGTGATTACGCGGATCCTCTGGGTGTATTTGTTAAGTTCGAAAATTGTCATAAAATAGTATGAAAATTGCCCAATAACAAATTCAAAATAACCAAAATTGCAATAATAACAACAATGTACTTTTTAAAAAGTAAATGTCTATTAATGACAGCAGTAACGATATTTCAGCAGACAATGTTTTGCGCAATTTCATACCCAAACAAGAGATATAGATTATAAAAGTTAAGCAAACGGCTGTTCAATACCACTAGTAGGGCGTTAATTTTGAAATAGTTAATGAAATTAATTCAAAAAACATATTTTCGTGCAGCATTTTTTTTCCATCGCGGGACACCTGAAAGTGCGGGTCCCCAGGCGAGTGCCCTATTTGCCGGTACCAAGTGCTGCTCTGTAAATCACGTCGTGTGTAAAGTTCTTATATATGTATTTAAGAATATGACGTTATGTAATGGAAAAAGTATATATTTTTGATTGAATGTAGATGTCAAGCATTATCTCGGAAATTTAATCAGGGATGCACAAAGCTGATTAAGTTCGTTTCTACACTCCGTTGCAACATTTAGAGAAAAGGATTCACGAAAGTAAATATATATTTCAAAAATAAGATTCTTTACATTTTTCTCACAAAAATTTCACGATTGACGATTAAAAGTTGACGGATTCCTGAACGACTTGCAATAATGAAAGTAAAGTTTTTGCGATTTAATCAAAACTTTTAATATAATAATATACCGTAATAAACGATATTGTATATTTATTGTGTACTCTCCCATATCATCATCTCATGTTGCCTTTGATCACTCCGGATTCATCTTTATCCTGACTGATCAAAGGCAATCAAAAAATTTCGAAAATATTGTACGTAAAATCTGTGAAAATCAATTTTTTTCTGCTTATATTATCGATTAAGGGACCAATAATAGTTAGAATTTAATCTATTATTGTGAGTTTAGGATTCATTTTATGATATCTGTTTTTAAACACAGAGAAATATTCTTTGATGGAATTCATCTATGTAGAATATGACGGTAAAAATTATAGTCGATTCTTTGTTCAGACGGATATGATTGATTATTTCGGAATGGTGGAATTTCACGTTATTCATTACTAAACAAAATCCCGGAAATCACCTCTTTAGATCACAATTGTCACGCTGAAACAAAAGAAGGGAGTGTAGGAACATATACCCCTTTTCGTTATTAAATGAGACTACGATTCGATTTTTGTACGCAAAGGAAACTTTACAAGGAGAACATGAGATTCGGAAACTGGCAACCTATGAGGAAATTCTGTAATGTTTGTGCAGCAAATGCGCAGGTAGGAAGTTGATGGGCGCATCAACTGCAATAGAGCTCATTATCTCTGTGAACGAAGCGATTCAAGCTAACAGGTAAGTCTCCTAACAAGTCATTTGCTTCGGTTATGGTGATAAACGAATTGAATGATATGTTTAGCTATTCATAGGGGACTAAATGAGCAGGACTGTCAAGAGGGGACGGAAACTGGGGATTTTTTCCCGGGCCCGGAACAAACTTAAAGACTAAAAGACGAAAAATATAATTATTATATTAAATAATAAGTGATTAAGTAGTAGCCCACGTTGGGAATCCGGGATCCTTTTCTTTGATAGGAAGTTAATATGGAGTGTTCAGCACAGATAGGCTCTATACTCCGAATAGCTTCTTTTGATCGCTAGGCGACCGATGAGCCGGCCTTATAGAAAGGCCAATACGCACACGTGGGAAAGAATGCCTTCCAGGAAGAGTTTTAAGGAAAATTGGCCCCGGAAAACTCCACGCTGTCAGCCCATTCGAGCGAGGCGCGAACCCACGACCGAACTCCCAGTGTTCAGGGACTGGTCCACTCAAAGTGCGGGTACGAAGTCCACTCGGCCACTAGTGAGCCTGGGGATCCGGAATCGGATCTGGACGAGTTGAAAAATCTCAGAAATTTTTGGGGATGGCCCATCCGGATATGTAGAGCCCCGTCCCTCACCCTATTGTGGGCCTGATCGGACCCGTAATGGCATGCTAAATAGACCCTCTTTCTGCCCACAGAGGTAAAAGAATTTAAAAAATAAACAAATCTAATTTTAAAAAATTACTAAAATAAAATACCTATAGGAGTTATCTAAACTGACTGATTCTGCTGAATACAATAAAACAATTTGTTTTAAACAATCAACTAATCAGTTATTCCGTGGTCCGGCACGTTTTGGATCTATTGCCATTAGTTTGTAGATCTGTTATGACTGTTTATTTTATAAACAAAATACGAATTTAAAAAATAAACAAAATAAACCAAAGTTTTTGTAATTTTGTTACAGTTTAATAATAGAATATNATTATATTTGAAGATTTTGTTTGCAATTTAATGAAAATTTGTATTTAATAAACAAAGTTTCAATTAAGTTTTAAAATCTTTAATACAAAAGCTATTTTTATTCGAAAGGGGGCGCTAAATATGTCATTGAATTTTGTAAACAATGCTGTTACGTCGAAAATGAAAACTTAGACTTTGGAAACCAAATTTTTTTAATTTCAAGATACCAGTTCCTGATCATTTCTAAAATTTTAAGGGTAATTTATGTGTCATTTCGCGAAAATATTTTCATATTGTATTGTGCAATACCATACAAGAAAAGCTAATGTGCAATAAGTAGTGTGCATGCTGCCATTAACCTATCTTTAGCCCAAGCTTATACACAATACTTAGAAGGGTATGATTCTATTCCTTGACATTTGATGCCTAACCAGGTTTTAGATTATCCCTATATAAACAAAAACCTAATACTATGAGGCTGGGAGTGATCTTTCACAATATGTGGCTCTTTTAAATGTGTGTCTTGCAGAGTGACAAAAATCAAAAATATTAAAAGGAAAAAAAAATTTTAAATTAATATTTTTACTCCCTACAGGAAATGATTAAAAATGCTTATAGACATGAAGTTGAAAATTGACTATTAATGTGAAGTTGTTTGCTGATATAGTAAGTTTATAGGCAAATTTAAATTAAACATGGCAACTATACTTAAGAAAAGTGCTTTTAGAAGCCATGTAATAACTTGTACAGTTCTACCAAATGAATTGATTAGAACTACAGCCCAGAATTTTGATGGTCAACTCAGCTTGACATGAATTTCTATAGTGTGTGATTAGGGTTGCAAATTTGTCAACTTTTTTTATTACCATTAATTTTCAAATTTCGACTCCAAATGCAAAATGATTACACTAGTGATTTAGTTTATTGTTGCCTAAACTTTACAAATTGCACATAAATTTTAGATAGGCAGGTCACAAATTTTTTGTATATTCCATATATACTAAAAGTAGGCATACAGCTGTCGTTTAAAATGCAAATTATTGGTGTGTTTACTAATGCATTTTTTTTTATCTGATTATCAGTTATGCATAAGAACATTTTATTTCAATTCTGCTTCTATTTCTGCTATTGCTAAAATATAATATCACCATGGTATAACTTTTCCATACTGTAACATAATGAATACATTCAGTATGTACAGTACAGTACTTAATAAAAAATATAAAAACTTGCTTCAACCTCAGTTCAATCATATAAGAGACTATCTTCCCCATCTACTGGTAGCTTTGTTAATTTTTGACCATTTGTTTATTCATTAAAGTGCATCCAATTTATTGCATACTTTTTGAATTTACATAGGTATTATTTTTTTCTTTTGTTTCCTGGCTTTTTTCTTGTTCTGTGTGTCCCAAGTTTTTTGTAATTTGAAATAGTCTCAGTCCCATCTACTTTGAATTATTTGTACTCTGCTGTACATATTTTTCCAAAAATTATTATGATTATTTTTATGTATTATTTTAAAATATTACCTTTTATTACTTTTCATAATTCTTTTAATCTAAACTCTGTTTACAGTTAAAGTAGCTGCTTAATGCTCAAGTAGTGTCTTTATTTGAATGTTCTCATTTTAATAACCGATAAATAAAAACATATCTGACATACTGTATATTAGTTATTATTACAGATGCAGTTTAATTACAAAAAATAGACTGCTGGAATATACTCTAGCACAGCTTAGCTCTCTGCTCCAGTTGCTTAGCTCACAACTGGCTGGTCAAGATATAACTGGTATTTCCAAATAGCTTACCATTAACTTCAAAATAGTTTGCCATTTTCTCATTTGTTTTGTTGAAGATTGTCATTTGATTTTCTATTGGTGTACAACAATTGTTTTATTTTTGCTTATTGGGCTGCAATTTGAAAAAATTGTAGTCCTATAAATTTCCACTTTCATCCATCTGTCCATCTTATTGCCTGTCTGTCCTTCCTTACTCTTGAGAACAGTGTTAGATTAATGAAAATCAAGACCAAATATAGAAACTTAGGAGCAGGAGGCCCCAATTAACTATATACGAACTTTCAATGCAAACTGGAAGTTGCATTATTTCAATTCAAAACTTTTTCCCAGAAAGGTGTTAGATAGATGACTTGCACATCTGTATTTTTAAAGAAAAAATATGATGTACTGGGGCAAGACACTACAGTACTAATTTCAGGTGGAGAGCATATATTTTAAATTAAATAAATTAAAAATATGATTAAAAATTGTAACCTGACATTATGACAATGTACAATAAATAATTGATCATTTTTACTTATTTTCCAATTAGAATAACTTAGCTAAGATGTGAGAATAAAGTCAGTTTCTAAGTTTCTTAGTCAGAATCTCAGAGGATATCTGAGAGCATTACTATATTCTCAGATTCTTTGTATCAGAGAACATCCTCTATGTTTCTGTTAGGAAAACCATCCAAGATCCTGTCCTTGAATAATTTAACATGTCATGCATAGGTTTATAGATGTTTATAGATTTAACAGATATTTTGGCTGTTTAGTGTTTATAGTTCAATCAAGATTAAATTGTTGGTTCCAAAACCTTTCTATTGGCAGGCCAAATTGTGCATAAATTGTAAATAGACAGACCACAAATATTTAAAATAGAGATATTCCAAATACTCAAAAAATAGGCCTATATCTATTATAAGAATATGTCAAATTTGTTCACGAGAAAGACTAATGTGTCCACTGGCTGGAATTGGCTTAGGGCAGGGGTCGGCAACCTTTTGAGTCAGAAGAGTCAAAAATTACAATTTACAAAATTTCAAAGTTTTTAAAGAGCCACAAAATTTTTTCTTGCCAACAATAAATAGTACTCGCATAAATAAAGTTTTTGATAAAAAAAACTAATCTATTTATTCAGAATTGTCTTGTGTCGAAAGCATATTAAACCTCATAGAAACATCCGACGACGGCGTCATTCGAGAGCTTCCGACGGACTGACGACAGTGACGACGCGTGTCATGGGAGAGAAGTGCGATGAAAAGCGAGTACAAGTGGCTGAGAGATACAATCGGTGCCGAATCCTCGTTAATCGATTCAGAACGATTTTTAAATTTTTTTTTTTTTTTTTTATAAAATAAATAATATTTGCATATGGAACTAAAGAGCCGCAGCTTCACATCCAAAGAGCCGCAGGTTTCCGACCCCTGACTTAGGGCCATAGTTTTAAGCACCACTAGATTAAATTATTGTCAATTTGTGCTTTTTCAATAAGAAAAAGTATACATTTCACATTTATATTATATGTTGGCTTTGTTTTTAAGATTGTTTTGGAATCTCCTAGAAATTTCTACTCATGGAGTGATCCTCATTTGATAAGTACTTATAGACTAAAATGTAGTCTTTGTATCTATCGAAGTTGTTTATATGTAACAATATTTCTCATTCTTACTTATTTATATATTGCTACTCAGTTTATACAACAATTTACAGTCATGTGCAAGTAACAACAGAATAGAGATGAAAGCAATTATATAAAAAATGTTAAGAAACAGCACATTCAACACTTGAGCAACATTAGACAAAAATATGGATTATAGTGATTACAGAAACATAAGTATGGAATAAAGTAAATTTATAATGCATGGGACCATCTTTGGCCTTTATTACTACTTTAATAAGTCTTGGTATTGAAGCAACTAACTTTTCACATAAATCTGCAGATATTTCTGTCCAGCTGGTTCAAATAGCGCACTTCAATTTGGACAATGAGGCCAGTTTTTTTTTTTCGAATCAGTTTTTTCAAAACATTCCACAAATTTTCTATTTGATTTAAATCAGGCTGTTTGGTGGCCAATCTAAATGTGAAATGTTTTTGTTTAGGAACCATTGACATATCGTTTTAGCATGATGGGAAGATGTATTGTCATCTTCCCATCATGATAGATAAAATCGTCATCACCAAAATGTTTCTGTCATGTTTTTAGCAAAAAATTGCCTAAAATTTCCAAGTAAACCTCTGCATTCACTGTAGTGTTGACAATTTCCAAATGTATAGGTCCTGCTGCAGTTATGGTAGCCCAAACTATAACTTCATTTGGAAATTTTGTTTTAGAAAGAAGGAATTCTGATAGAAACTTTTCATTGGGGTTTTTCCAAACTTTGCTACCATTGTTATCTTAATCCTATGCAAATATATGAGACTTGTTGGTAAACATAACTTGTTTCCAATGCATCAAATCCCAATTCTAGTAGGCTTTTGCCCACTGCAGACAATTTATGCTTTTCAGTCAGATATAGTTTCTGCTTTGCTTTTCTTGATATGTAGCAATTAGGGATTGCAATTGCTGGATCCCTCATCCAGCAATCCAGCTGGATCCAGTGCATTTTTTGGCCTGCTGGATCCAGCAGGCCGAAAAATGCGCTGCAGATCTGCAAATACTCAATTAACTTTCTAAATAATGGTGCAAAAGTCTATGTTGTCAGCGTTGCCGCTTTGCTAAGTGCGCTATTGCTCGGCGGTGAGAGCGACATTGCCATTCAGTGCAGCACGTGCTACACTCCCTCTCTACACCGCACCACCCGTCCTTTTACCTCTGCTGATCTAATTGACAGTTGACTTTTCGCTCTTGCTAAATAAAGTGTCTTCGCGCTAAATAAAATAAGTAACATCCTCTCCTAGTCCTGGTGCATAATTCTAATTTACAGTCGGTTGTGACGTCAATGAATCACGTGACGGATCGCCGTTTCAGCTGCGAGACAACAGCACTTTTTCGACTTTTTTTCCTGAATAAACTCGGTGCGCAATAAAAACGCTATTTATTTCATTTTTCGCAGCTCGAAGAAATTAGAGAATTTGAATTTTTTAAAATTTTTTCAAAAATTTCGGAAAAATTGCGACTAAAAAATGCCAGGGGGGCGTCTGTGACACGCTACATGATCTTAAATGAAAATTGAATTATTTACCACAAAAATGGCTGTAACAATTTGGATCAAACTTGGTTAGTTTAGTGAATTGCGTAAATACATATATAGTGGAACCAGCAGCAATGGCAGAGAAGATTATGGAAGTGGAAAGCGATGATCCAGATAACCCGTATTCCCTGAATTTCACCTTGGAACAAGAATTGGAGATCCAACTAAAGCGTGAGAAAGAAAACTTCATGAAACGGAAAGAAACTAGTACTGAGAAGGATTATGATAAGTTATTAAAAAAGGAAATGGCTGTTTATGAAAATGAGGGAGTCAGAGGTGAAAACTTATCTTTGATTTATAATTATTTGATGACCCTGAAACCAATTAGCGTAGAGGCTGAAAGGGCCTTCTCTGCAGCGGGATACATATGCAGTGCATTAAGAAGTAGGTTGGGAGACAACACCATTAATACTATTTGTTTTTTGAGATCCTACTTCCAGAAAAGTCAAAAAAATAACATGATAACATGTTAAATGACAAAGAAATATTTGATAACAAAAACATATTTGATGATAAAAAATAATATGAAATAAAAAAATAACATGAAAAAATAAGTGATTGATTTAATTTTATTTAATCCTTTAAAATGGTTTATTCAAGACAAGACTGATAATTTATAACTTCTTCTCTAATTCTATTAAGTAAGAGTATTTAACTTTTATTCTATAAGTGGTTAAATAACTTATAAATAATTACAGACTGATATGTAGAGCCTATATAAGAAAACTGGTAAGACTGATAGCCACTTAGCCACTGATTATCCATCCTTACATTATTATAATATAATATATTAAAGTAAATTAATTAGTAGAATTACCTTTGCTATTATTTAACTTATTACATTATAATTATAATTTAACTAAACATTTATAGTTAATTATCTCTATCTCAAGTGTTAAACCGAACCAAAGTTAAGTTTACTACCTAAATGTGTAAGACGTTTTACTGATTTAAAGTGAACAGTCTAAATAATAAAAGGTTTTTAAGTATTTAAAAAAATGTTTTATTTCTTTAAAAAAACCATAAAATGCTAAATAGATAGATAACACTTTATTGCACCAAAAATACATCTGCGCTGGATCCAGCTGGATTGATGTTGGTCCAGCAAAAATCCAGCTGGATTGAAAACACTGCTGGATTGCAATCCCTAGTAGCAATGTTCATTTAACCTTCTGAGAGTTGTTTTTCAGATACATCTGTACCAGTTTCTTTCCATTCAGCATTTATCTGGATGACTTAAATCTTCCTCCTCTAAGATTTTGATGTGATTTTTGTTTTCTCATGTCATAGTTACATGGAGGGCATCTACATCTAAATTGATTGGAGACAGTTCCTTGTGCTATATATTTAGCTATAATTTTAGACACTGCAATTTGTGTACATTGCATTTTGTATTTATCTGCTGCTTTTCATCATACCTGTAATATGAAATTATCAACTGTTTCTTTGCACCACTGGTGTTTTTTGCATAGTTTTAGAATGCAAACATTAAGCACAATTAAAGTTCTGCAGATTCAGTTTTGAAGTGTGATATTACATAATAATAGTGTCACTAAATTAATTTTAATATGGAACATGCCCATCAAATTTTAAACTTTTGTCCTTGCTATGCTAGTATTCCATATTTTTGTCTCTACTCTTGATTAGTAAATGAAGCATATTTTCTTTTATAATGCATGAAACTGATTTCATTTTAGCATATGTTTGTGCAAATGTATCATCTCAAAATTTGCAAAAGCAATCAACAAATAAACATTAAATATATTTTTTAAACTTGCTTTTGAAATGTTGTGATGCAGGAATTTATAACATTATTTCATATTTTTCACCAGAGGTTGTATTACTAAAAGAAATATTTTACTTTAAACTCTAGTTCAGAATCTTTAAGTTTAGGATATGCATACTTAGAAATTTGAATAAATCAGCCATACTATTAAGCTTTAATAGACTATGTTTATGCTATGTAAAGTAATGAGAATATGTAGCAAGATTTTGAGAGTTTGTGGAATTTTTTATTTACAAGTAAACCAGTCTTAATATTTTAATATGTTAAATATGCATATTTTGGTATATACATACAAAAAGGTCTAAATTAGTCTTACTGTATAATATATTATGTCAGTTGTTATTCATTAAAATATATGTTATGAATCATCAAAACTTATTTTATAAATGAAAATTATTTTTTCAGATAGTGATGAATTCCAATCAATCACATCAACATACAAATCATTGTTGTCATTCAGCATATTCATCAGTGCATCAAACTTTAGAAGAACTTGATTTTGAAAAAGGTATTTGGTCAGCAGCTTTATATGGTGATTATGATAGAGTAAAAGAGTTTATAGACAAAAACAAAGATCCTTCAGTTAGAGATTCTTCTGGATACACAGCATTACATTATGCAGCTAGAAATAATCAATTACAGGTTTGTAAGTTGTTGTTAAAATCAGGTGCTAATCCCAATGCCCAAACTCCAGGTGGTGCCACTCCTTTACATCGTGCTGCATTTAAAGGAAATTATGAAATAGTTCAGTTATTATTACAGTCTGATGGTGATCCTACAATATGTGATAGTGATGGAAAAACACCAATAGATAAAGCAGTTGAAAATAATCATAAAAATGTTGAAAATATTTTAAAGGAAGCTGCTCAAAATAAAATTCTGTGATAATATAATGTTTGTATATTAAGTTAGACAATAAATCTCAATATGAATAAGGAAGAACAATTTGATTTAAGAATAGAAATCTTCAATAATAATGCATGATTTGATTCTTAATCCTACATTGTCACATTTTAGTTGATAAGATGATTTTTTTATGATTATAATGAACACAGGATGACACCACACCAAATTAATAATAATAACTCTCCCATGGTCATCACCTTGTTGTGGTGGGAGAGCCCAGTAATTTTACTGATCTATTGGGCAATGCCGGCTGGAGCACAAGCTCTTGGTAGGGATACTCATGCCAGTAAAGTCTATGGGGAGAAATGAAGCTAAGAGTGACCACACCCACAATCTGTGGAGATATTTATCATGGTAGTAACCAGGTCTAAGTCTGATACCGGTTCAGATGTTGCCCAGGTTAGCAAGGTTTGTGTGGGTTAGGCAGAGGCTCGTGTTCAAAAAATATGCCACAGTCTCCTTTGGTTACTGGTGGTGAAAGCAGTGCCAGCCCAAGCATGGTTACTGCAATGTTCTCAACAGATGTGAGGAACCAACTTAGCCTTGGTGTTTCTGTAGCAATGCAGGCTGGAAAACCACTCCAATGGATGAAATGGACAATAGAAATGAACAAGTGAATCATCCATACTTACTACACCATCACAAGACTTGAAACAAACATGATGGCATAGACAACAACTACATCATAGATTCACACAATATCCTCACTTCACTGCCACCAAACAATGGGTTGTTGATCAAAAAACAACAATTATACACAACCTTATCCCACAAACAACACTTGAACTATCAAACAACAGGTTGCTGATCAAATACAAGACAAGGTGAAAAGTTCTCGGCCTAGCCCATAGATGGCACTGCTACAAATGAAATTACTGTTTTGTTATGGTGGTGGTGCACTTGTTGCAAAAGTAAATACCAAATGGAAGGGATTCAAGTTTATTCATTTTTGACAAAATGAATAAACTTGAATCCCTTCCATCATAAAATTTTTCATTTTGGATGGTTTATCGCCAACAGAAATTCATCCAAAGTTGGTAAAAGTGTGTAAGGAGTCTGCACCTTCGTTATCAACAGTAAAAAAATGGGCAGCGAGTTTAAACGTGGTTGTTCATCAATTGAAGATGATCCAAGTGAAGGATGGCCAAAAACTGCAACTACCGAATAAAATATTGAGAAGATACATAATATGGTTCTAGATGACAATTAAAAGTGTATGAGATAGCTAAGGCTGTAGGCATCTCAGAAGAAAGGGTACGGCACATTTTACACGAAGAACTCAGTATGAGAAAGCTTTGTGCAAGATGGGTGCCGCATTTGTTAAATGCTGATCAAATGACATATTGTCAATATTTTGTATTTGATTTGTCAATGTTTTGTAGTTGATTTGTCAATATGACAAATGAAACAAATGACTAATTGACTTTCTTAGAAATGTTTGTGCCATTTTAAGAAGGATCCAACTGATTTTCTGCACAGATTTGTTATAATGGATGAAAGATGGGTTCACCAATTTACATCTGAGTCAAAATAACAATCCAAGCAGTAGGTAGAAACCAGTGGCTCTGCACCGAAGAAAGCAAAGACAATTGCATTGGCTGGATAGGTTATGGCTAGTATTTTTTGGGATTCTAAAGGAATTCTTTTAATTGACTACCTGTTAAAGGGTCAAACAATTAATGGGGAATACTATGCACATCTTCTTGACCAGCTAGATGAAAAAATTAGAGAGAAAAGGCCTGGTTTGCAAAAAAAAAAAATCCTTTTTCACCAGGACAATGCACCCGCTCACAAAGGCGCTTTGACAATGGGAAAATTAAAACATTTGAAGTATGAATTGTTGGAATAGCCTCTCTATTCACCAGATTTGGCTCCCTCTGACTTTCATCAATTTCCAAATCTTAAGAAATTTTTGACTGATAAATGTTTTGGTTTTGGTGAAGAGGTGATAGCAGCGGTAAATGGATATTTTGAAGACCTTCCAGAATTGCACTTCAGGGATGGAATTCAGTTATTGGAGAAATGTTGGACAGAGTGTATTGAACTAAAGGGAGACTACATTGAGAAATAAATGCATTTTTTAAAATAAAAAACTCATTTTTTCACTACTAGGCCGAGAACTTTTCACCTTGCCCTCGTACATCAACAGAAACATTAACATTAATAAGGATCACATAACCTGTCGGGATAATTCAGCAACAAGCACTGATTATAGCACACACACAACAATTACCACTAATGATACTACAGACACTTCCTCATCCACCACTGATAACATAGATATAGATTTAGTTAATAATGCTCTAACTTATATTTCAGGAAACACTCACTAAATACAGTATATGGGTACAGATCCCACACAGACCACAAAAAACCAAAATTCAACACATCAAAGGTAGTAGGAAAAACACTAAATTACATAATCACTCACAACCACACTACATTAATTTAATTTCTACACACTCAGACATTCATACATTAGTTTATGCTGGGGCAGTCACAGTAGTGACACACCATGGACTGAAAATACAATCACAGACAGATCCACACAAAACATAATTCTATCACAAGCCTGCCTGGCAGAGAAGAATAGAAACACAAATAAATGACATTAGACAGCAATAGGCAGGCTGACACAATACACTAAAAACATCATAACACCCAAATTAAAGAAACAATTCAAACATTTTCAAGAAAATCAAAACACACAAAACATGAACATCACAACACACACATTACAGAATACATTGATACACTAAAACAGAAACTCGCAGCCAAAGCATGTAGACTCAAAACGATACAAAACGTGCACTATGGAAAAACAAAATAAATTATTTACAAACAATGAAAAAACGTTTACAAATTAGTACCAAAACAAACACTTATATACAGCATAGGGGCACACCAACAGAAGAAGAACTCACAACTTATTGGTCTTCTCTTTGGTTCAGTGCTGTTACACACAATGCTGATGCAGGCTGGATCGAGGAGGAGAACAGAAACTTGCACAACATCGAACTATGCCCTGTGCTGAAATAAACATACACATCTGCTATGCTGTTAACAGAACACACAACTGGAAGACACCTAGTGCAGACAATTTCTGGTACAAAAAGTTTACATCACTGCACCAGGAACTAGCTAAACATCTAACACACATCTTCATTAATCCACAAGACACGAAAATTTCTTACTCGGCATCACATACATGAAACCTAAAAACAACAATATCATAGACCCCATACAATACAGATCAATTACATGTTTTCCAGCACTACAAATTATTGACATCGTATATTGCAAACAAAATGTACAAACATGTTGAAGAATACAACATTCTTACAGAACAACAAAAAGATTACAGAAATACATAGAAATCACAGGATGCAAAGAACAGTTATTCATAGATTCAGTCATTCTACGACAAGCACACAAACAACACAGAAACAAACACATTGCAAATATAGACTACAGAAAAGCATTCAACAGTGTTCCAACAGTTGGCTGCTACATATTCTACACATGTATAAAATACATCCATCACTCATTGCATTCTTCCAAAACACTATGCAGCACTGGAAAACAACACTACATCTCAGGGTTAGTAACACTTCCATACAAACAAACCAAATATTTAGTAGATGAGGAACTTTTCAAGGAGATTCCTTGAGTCCTCTCTGGTTCTGCTTAGCCCTAAACCCATTATCCAACATGTTAAGCAACATGCAATATGGTTACAATATGAAACATGAAAAAACAAGACAGAGTACACTGTCACATCTCATATACATGGATGACATAAAACTTTATGCATCCACACAAAAACAACTTCATCAACTCTTACAAATCACACATTCATACGCCAAGGACACACAAATGGAGTTTGGCCTAGACAAATGCAAAACATTTCACATAGAAAAAGGAGTCCCGAAGAAAGAAGATTTTGTACTTGGAAATGGAGACATTGTTGAATCCATGGAAGAGGAGAGTTCTACAAGTATTTAGGATTCCAACAGGCCAAACTAACACAAATAAAGCAAAGATTAATTAAAGAATACCAAAGTAGGTTAAATGCAATTCTCAGAACACAGTTAAATGCAAAACACAAAGTTAAAACAATAAACACATATGTCGTCCCAGTACTCACATATTCTCTTGGAGTTATACGTTGGACTCACACAGATCTTGAGCAACTCCAATGGAAAACAAGAACAACACTTACTAAGCATAAACATCATTCTAAATCTGCTATAGAAAGATTAACCCTTCCACATAAAGATGATGGACATGGCCTGATTGACATAGTTAACCTTCACTACAAACAAATACAGTCACTGCAAGAGTTTTTCTACAAGAAACAAGAAACATCACAGTTACATAAAGCAGTAACTCTAGCAGACTCAAGTAATACACCATTAAATTTACACTCATGGACGCACAGACATGACATAACATATAAAAAGCATAGACACCAGTAAGCAATCGTGGGTTCAAAAGGCACTCCATGGCAGACATCCCTACAACCTGTCCCAGGATTTTGTTGATTAAACTGCATCAAACATCTGGTTAGCTCAGAGATGGCTCTTTGGGGAAGTGGAAAGATTCATGACTTCCATACAGGATCAGGTCATAAATACTAAAAACTATAGGAAACACATACTCAAAGATACAATACTTACAAATGACACATCAGAAAATGTCGCATCATGCCAGAAACTATATTACACATCACTTCTGGTTGGAAGCTCTTGGCACAGACAAATTATTTACATAGACATAATCAAGTAGCAAATATAAAATGCCAAAAGCTTGCAAACAAACAAATTATTACATATCCACAAATTATACTACAAATACATTCCACAGACGGTATTGGAAAACAACACACACAAAATGTACTACAACAGAGCCATAATCACAGATAAAACAATTCACCACAACAGACCAGACATCACACTCATTGACAAACACAATAAAATCACATACATTATAGACATACCTATTACAAACATACACAATATACAAAACACATGCACTGAAAAAATTAGCAAGTACACAGAACTTGCCCAGGAAATAAGGTATCAGTGGAGGATGGATAGGGTGCTTATTGTACAGTATTTGTCATCCTCTCCTGTACAGGTGTGATACCACACACACTACACAAAAGCCTGGGCACATTACAATTGAATAGAAACACATACATCACACTACAGAAGGCCACTATATTGAATACATGTCATATTGTTAGGAAATTCCTGAATTCAGACACACACACTAAAACAGTTTTTTAAATTTTGTTTTGTTTTGGTTACTATGCCTTGACTCTGGTTCGGCATAGTACACAGCCACCGGTGTCAACCGAGTATAACTCAAAACCCAACATAATAACAACAATAATAATAAAGATGAAAAATATTGTCATTTGATGTTAATTCTTTGATTAGAATATAAACATAAGTGATAAACACTTTCACTAGTACTTTCAATAAGTATCTTTACAAATACTGTAAGACCCCGCTTAACGCTGATTCGATATAACGCGGTTTGCTCGAAGCCTTATAAAAGGCTCAAAATTTACGCTGATTCTAATTATTGCGGCATTTCATTGATTCGTATATAATACGATTATTTACGAACATGAACCAATTGGCAAAAGTGGCAATTCATCGTAGCGCTGTACTTCTGAATCTGTTTGGTGCAATTTTGGAAAGAATATAACTTCATGTATGCCATAGGAAATAATGGCTTCGCTTGGCAAGAATTATCTGATAAATGCATGAACGGAGTGTGGAAGAAGTTATGGCTGGAGGTGTCCAAGAATTCTGAACGAGAAGAACCTATCGCTGTACCGTTAGGTTTATGAAATTGTCAATCTAATCGATACAGCAGGACAGATGTAGACGAGCAGGATATTGAATTACTGCAGGTTTCTGATGAGAGCCTTACCAACGACGACCTTCAAGAACTGGTAGAACAAGGAATTCGTGTAGAACTGGAAAATAGTGATTTTGAAAACAAAGAAACCAAATAACTTGCTACAGATTTCCTTAGTAAAAGTTCGGTAACGCGACAAATGAAACTACACGACTTTATCAAAAAACAAGAATTTCAGAAGAGCCAAAACTTTCATCACAAATAATTAACGTTACACTTTTTTGTGCATATGTTTGTGTTATTTAACATATATTACTATGCAAATTAATATAAAAATAACTTAAAATTAAAATAAAATCTGTTTATTTTTGGTCGCGTGTTCCCATTTCTCTATTTATTCTATGTTAAAATGACCTCGTTTAAGGCTTTGTCGTCTAGGAACACATCCTGGCGTTAAGCGGGTCTTACTGTATCTTTATAATCAGGTGACCAAATCAAAGAAAGCAAAAGTAGTATTTTAGATTAAATCAAAATATCAGATTTGGTAGTGAATTTATTATACATTTAAATATTTTGCATTATACATGCGAAAGTAGTGAAAGTGGACATGGCAATTTGTCACGTGAGATGGGAGATCCGTTACGCCGGCGCAAGAGAGTGGTCTGTAAGAGATCGCCGAACTGGATCGTGAATTTTTTATACAACAAGGATTAGCAAAAGAATTATCCACTCGCTCTTTGATTGGTTAAAACTTGTCACGATCGAACTGTCATGGAGGAGTGCTAAAACTTTTTAATCCTTAAACAATGTTATTTCTTTGTTCACGATCATATTTTTTTCAAATACATCATTTTTACCTCTCTGGGAAAGTATCGTACTGGTTTTTGGCAAATCTCGACGTTTTGTGACTCCTGAAACCAAAAAGTCAAAATAAACGGAAAAAAATCTCCTAACTCCTTACCCCCTCGACCTATAACAACCAAAATTTAATAGCATTCTCATATACAAGCGTATTGAAAAAAGAACTAAATTGGTTTATCCTATCACAAGTTATAAAAAAAATCAAAAAACGTTAATATTAGGAGTGGAGATGAGTTTCGAAAAAATTTCCAAAACAAATGTATTTATTTTTTGGTAAACTAAAAATTTGTAGCTGTAAAAAAAACTTGAATGCTTTTTGAGATAAGGCTCCCACCTCCTTAATACATACGCGGCCAAGGTGGCAGCCTACCGCTCTGGGGGACCCGGGCTCGAATCTGAACGGGTCGAAAAATCCCCAGGAATTTTTCGGGGATGGTCCGGATATGTCGGGCCCCGTCCCTCACCACCCGGCAGCCCCATTGTGGCCGAACCCATAATGGGCTTGCAA